AGGCTTGACGAAGATGTTAAGCTTCAACAAAGACAGTTTATGATGCCTCTATCTCATATCGAAATGCTTTAAGGATTTACTATTTTATATATGTAGAGATTTAAACTCAAATCTATGAGGCAACTTTTATTAGACAAAACCGTAAAACTTTCAAGTTAAAATAGATAATATTTCACAAGTTGAGTGCGAGTAAGGATGGCAATGGGTCAGGTCAATGTGAGTTTTTGTTCACCCCAAACTCGACTTAAGAAATTTTTTATTTTTTCATATTCGAATCCAACCCGACTCAATATTATATAAACTATATTCGATCCAATTCGACTCAACCCGAAATTAATAAAATATTATTTTTCAAAATATAAAATATACTTTTTAATATAAATATAAAATTAAATAAATATATAAATATATATAAATAAAAAATTAAATAATTAATTAAAAATAAATTATATATATATTGTCAGATCGAGTTTGCTTAAAACCTTACCCTAACTTTTTTTTATAATTACCCGACTCGACTTGAAACTTAATTTTCAATAAGAGAAAACTGATCCTACGAGATTTGATCAGGTCAAAACCCGACAAAGACTGATTAGGCTGTCAACCCTAAATGCGAGTCTCTATGATAAAAATATTCCAAAAATCAAATTGTTTTTCACTAAATTTATTTCATGTTTCTAAAATAGCTAAGAGCCAAATTCATAACTTTTAATTTCTACTTTTATTTTCCTCAAAATTTCTCAGTAACCAAAATTAGGAACATTAAAAAATGAAATTATAAAAAAATTTCAGAAACCTTCTCCATTCCCTGAGAGCAATGCCTTCACCATCTCTGTCGGCGTATGCAAAATCGGGCCGTCCGATAGGCCAAACTCTTCTCCATTCGTGTACGGCTGCGATGCAAACACGTCATCAGTCGAGTCTTTAGCATGGTCCGGCTCGGCAGCGAAAGAGTAGAATTGCTGAGACGGGTCGTAACCAGCGTAGCCGCTGTCTTCGTTTTCCTGGTGTGGAACCGAGTCGAAAGAGTCGACCGAGTGGTCGCCGAGTTGAGTGAACGAGTCGGGGAACGTGGATATTCTTTTGTCCAATTGTCTCTTCAAGATCTTGTACGGACACATCAAAGCTTTAATTTAAAAAAAAAAACAAAAACAAAATAGCTATGGAGTTGGAAGTCTGAAGTCTCTGTCTGAAGGAAGGCTAAATTGAAAGGCGATAATATAACTCTTTGTTTGCGTTTGATCAATTTATTTGGGCCTTTATTTGGGTTTGAATTTATAAGTTAGAGATCCATAAAAACTGTAATAAATACTAAAAATAGTTGGTTTAATTTATTTATAAAAAATTTTGAACTTAATATTTCCACTGTAATTGTCTGTTACCCCTTTTTTTTTATAGGAGGTAACGACTTAGAGATAAAGAGTTACTGATAGTTTAAGGATAAAAAAAAGAGTTAAAAGATAATTTAAGGAAAAAAGAAAATTACGGATTTTGAAATTGAAATTTCAAATGAGTAATTAACTTTTTTATTGGTATTTTTGCATATAACTGTTTAACGTTATTGCATATTACCATTATTTAATGGATTAATATTATGAATTATTTTTAATTATAATAAAATATTTAATATAATACTTAAATTTTAAAAATATGTAATATAATATCTAAATTATATAAATCTATTAATTAATGTAATACTTAAAAAATTATTTTTCAATCATATGTTATCATTTAAAATTAGTTATTTTAAAGATAAAAATTATATTAATTAATAGAATCATAGTTTATGTATCAAATAAAAAAAAATTTAAATTTAAATAATACTTTAAATATTTTACTATAATTTGAAGATTATTCATTACATTAACTTTTACTTAATGCATACATAATCACATTCCTTTAATGTGTGAACTTCGACCACCAAATTTGCATGAATGTGGATTCCATTTAGAGTTTAGTTATTGAGATTATGGCCTTCTAGCTTGAATTCAAATCAAGCCATTGCTTGCTAATAACCTAAAGAGATCCATTGATCACCATTGTTTTTTTTTTTTTTTTTTAATGAGAATCTCCACCAACCATTACAACATTTATATTGACACAAGTTGAATGGAATGAAGGTCTTTTAATAAATTTTCTAAGTCAACTGAATCTTTTCTCTTTCTCTTTCTGAGAATCTCCACCAACTATATTGTAGCCTACAAGTGATGTGATCGAAAATTTTAGCTTCTGATCAGTAACTTGTCCAGCAAAGACATTCAAGCCCCAATCTATACAATTAAACTGCAAAACATGTGTAGGGAATTGATTTCAGAATAAAGAAGAACCAGACACCTTCTAGTTTATTGGTTTATATTTTCAACCTTCATTTCCATTTTTCTTACCATCAACATCAAATGCTCTTATTATTTGACCCAAAAAAAAAAGACAAAATATATATATGTATACTTATCTTGGATGAATTATATTCCATCATTAGATATGGATGGGATCAGCTGAAAAACTCATATTCAACCTGATTTCACATCTAATAATTATTTTTCTTTAAATTTTGCTACTTAAGTTGAATTATGCGTTTGCCTTTGCACAAGTTGACTGAGTCAACTAGACTAATACAAGTGTCATGATCATTTTGTATTTTTATTATACTAGATGAATTCTTGAAAACTTAGGATATCCAGACATATATAACATTAGGAATTAGAATATTAGTAATAACACTAGAATAATAAAAAAATTAGTTTATATAAATATATTTATGAATATATTTTGTATTCCAATGATTGTGATATATTTGTAAGTATTCATATTTCAAAGCCTATTAAGATGGGGAAAAAAAAAAGAAAAACAAATGATCATGAATCCGTAATAAAAGTGAAAAAAATTATATATATTATAGAAGTTGAGGAAAAGTATCCGGTATAACAAGTGTGGCTCACATTGTTTGTATTGTTTGTATTTTAATCACTCTTGTTTTCATCAAAAGATAAGCTTTTTCTACTTCTATTGATTTTCTCAGAAGGACTATTATTTCATTTTCAAAAGAAAAAAAAAAATCAAACAGATCCAGAAAAGCATTGATTATCACCAGGTGGTATTATAAATGGAAGAGTTTTTTTTTTTTTTTTTCCTTTTGGTGGAATAAAATGAAAGAATCCATATGTTTTATGCTTGTCCACTATTTGCAGTTCTAACTAACTGGTTCTAATTTGAATATCATCTTTTGGTATGATCACCAACCATGGTGAAAACTATAGTACTGATAATCAAGTCCAGTAATAGTTCAATCGAGTTAAATTTATTCATGACTACATACACTTACTTTTCAAATTAATGGTCAACCTATCAGTTTTCATTTCCAGACCAAAATTCCCGAAAATTTCCGATGATCACATGAATTAGGAAAATACTATAAAAAATTGGTATAATATATAGTTTAAAAGTATAACAATTATACATTAGTTGAAATATGTCTATCCATTTACCAATCAAAATCTAGTTTGGCATTGTAGATAGTTGGAGTGATATAGTCGTAATTATTAGTGTAAAGTTTTTCCTTTATGTGTTGAAATTGATAGGTGAGTTTGGAGTTTGGAACCAAAAAAAATGAGTTCACACCAAAGAATCAGGTCCAGGTAAATGCAAAATGCTGCAGACCCACTTTTTTATTTTCCATGTCATTATCTAGTTAGATTCCCCCACCAAAAAAAAAAAAAAATGAGTTCACACCAAAGAAATCAGGTCAAGGTAAATGCAAATGCAACAGACTTACTTCTTTGATTCCATTGTCATTATCTAGTTAGATTCCTCCCCCAAAAAAATGACTTCACACCAAAAAAATCAGTTCAACGTAAACGCATGCAAATGCAACAGACCCACTTCTTTATTTTTCCATTGTCATTATCTGGTCAGATTCCACCATTCTCTTGTTCCGATTATGCAAACCTTTTTCTTTTTTGGCCAAATTCCTATAGATGGCCAAGTTTGCAAAGTCCCTTAAACACTTCCAATTAATCCCGATAATGAAAATAAAGGAGCAAGGGAAGCAATTTTACTAAACAATTTTTTTTTTCAATTTATTAAGTTAGTACATATACAATTTATTTATAATTAGAAAAATAAATATAACCAAATCAAACAAATTTTATCAATATCCCATTGTTATTGAGTAGAAAATATGAAAACTAATTAAATTCATCTTGCTGGGAGGAGTTATAGACATTTGGAATGCAAATGATTAATTAAATGGTCTAGCCTTTGAATATGAATTAATTTCTACTAATCAACCCTGTAAAACATCTAACATAACAATAAGAAAACTCGGGAAAAGGAATTTACAAAGACAAGGTGCAGTTATTCTTTGAAACCAATATCTGACTGATTGATCAATCAGAAATGATCAAATGACTCCAATTAAATGATAACTTAATTTTCTTGCTCGTTTTTAAACTATTGATCACAAATAAAGAATAAAGATTTCTCAGAAAAATGGGGATCAGCTGAGAAAACCATGTTCAAGCTTATTTTATGTATGATTTTTAATTTGTATAAATTTTGTTACTTTCTTAGTTTTGTTTGGACAAGATTTAATCTCTTTCCATTCAATTTCCGGCTACTCAATTTATTATTACTTATAAAGGCATTTAGTCTAAAAGTGAAAAAAAACATTTTCCAAAAAGTATATATTAAGATAAAAAAGTAAAACACCACAAGATGAATAGATAATGAAAGCGACAAAAAACATATGGAAGTGGAGGAAAGTATCCACTGTAGAAAGCAAATAATGATAAAAAGCCAGGGAAAAAGCCAACCCCAAATAGACGCTTCCACTTGAGCAATTTCTACACACGGCTTTCAAAGTCAAAAAGCTTGATGGGGGATACAGCTACATAATATCAGAGTTCCCAAAATTTCTTATATTGCACTCTAGTTCTTGTTGATGAACCCAAGCACTCTTAAATACGAATCAATCTTATCAATTAACAAATTGATTCGGGTTGATGGAGCTAACGAACAAGCATTTGAAAGTGTTCAGCTCTTTTTTCCTCGTTTACGTTGAAGTTTTAATTCTTCTCTCATGCTTCAACCTGCAGGGTCTTAATTTGCTCGGTTTAGCAACCCCTGTCGTTCATGGAAATGACACAGATCAGCAAGCTTTACTCGAGTTCAAAGCCAAGATAACTGGTGATGAGCTTAGGATTATGCATTCCTGGAATAGTTCCATCCATTTTTGCCAATGGTATGGTGTTACATGCTGTCGCAGACATCAGAGAGTAACCAAGCTGGAATTGCAATCCCAGAAACAAGCGAGGTCTGTATCGCCATACATTGGAAATTTGAGTTTTCTCAGGGTATTGAATCTTGCACACAACAGCTTTAGCAACGAAATTCCTCAAGAAATTGGACGTTTAAGAAGATTGGAAATATTAGAATTGTCCAATAACTCCATCAATGGTGAAATTCCTTCCAATTTATCTGGTTGTTCTAAGCTGACATTTGTTCACATGAGAGGCAACCAGCTAACCGAAGAAATACCGGGTTTGCTTGTTCACTTGTCAAAACTAAAATATTTAAGTTTTTTCGACAACAGTTTAGCAGGGAGTATTCCACCTTCCTTGGGGAACTTATCGTCTTTGGAGACGCTTTCTTTGGCCATGAATGGACTGAATGGGGTTATACCTGAATCTCTTGGGCAACTGACAAATCTTTCACGTTTTTCTATAGCAGTAAATGCAATTTCTGGAATTGTTCCTGTCTCAATTCTCAATCTCTCTAAGATTACAAGTTTCGATGTCACCGGAAACAAGATTCAAGGTACTCTTCCTTCTGACTTGGGAATCACTATGCCATATATTGAGACATTTTCTGTCTTACAAAACCAAATCACTGGACAACTCCCTGTTTCAATATCCAATGCCTCAAATTTCATGGAACTTCAAATTTCATCAAACCAACTTAGTAAAAACTTGCCTTCATTTGAAAAGCTGGATAAACTATCAAGATTTCTCATAAGCGAAAATCATTTTAGAAATGGGGGAACAAGTGACTTAAACTTTCTTTGTTCTTTAACCAATACTACCAAAGTAGAAACTCTAGATATAAGCCAAAATAATTTCGAAGGGTATTACCCAAGTGCATTCGCAATTTGTCTAGCACCATTTTGTTTCTACAAGTAGCATGTAACAAAATATTGGGAAGAAATCCAGTCGGGATTGAAAATCTCATCAATTTGGAGGTACAATATGTTTATCACATAATCTGCTATCAGGTTCTATTCCCCTTGTCATCGGGAGGCTTCAGAAGCCAGAGATATTTTATGCTCATGATAATTATTTTCTTTCTGGGCCTATTCCCCCTTCTATTGGAAATTTGACAATGCTAACCCAACTTTATTTAAATAGGAACAATCTTCAAGGCAACATTCCTCCAAGTCTAGTTAATTGCAAAAGTTTGGTTGCATTGTCTTTTTCTGATAACAATCTAAGTGGATCTATACCCCCTGAAGTAATTGGACTCTCATCATTGTCCATTGTTTTAGACTTATCATCCAACTATTTAACTGGTGCCCTTCCTGTTGAAGTAGGAAATCTGAAAAATCTAGGTGTGTTGGATGTTTCTCATAATAGGTTATCTCGTTTGCTTCCAAACAATCTTGGTAGCTGCGTAAGATTGGAGTACCTGTTCTTGGATGGCAATTTGTTTGAAGGGCCTACTCCTTTGTCTTTGAGTTCATTGAGAGGTCTTGTGGCATTAGACATATCTGACAATAATCTTACCGGTGAGATTCCAGAATTTCTTCTGAGCTTTGGGTCATTAGAGTATTTAAATCTATCTTTCAATGATTTTGAGGGTATGATACCAATTGGAGGAGTCTTTAAGAATGCAACTGCTACATTCGTTGAGGGAAATAGCAAGCTTTGTGGAGGCATCCCTGAGTCACACTTGTCCAGATGCAACTCGAAAGAATCCACCAGAAGATCAAACACTTCTTTCAAATTAATAATTTCAATTGTTTTTGTGATTTAGGAGTGACTTTGGTATTCTCATTTTTCCTCATTTTGTGGTTTAGAAAGAAGAAAGAGCAGCCAACAGCAACTTGTGCAAAAAATTCACTTTTACAATTATCATACCAAAGCATCCTGAGGGCTACTGATGGATTCTCCGGGCAAAATTTGGTTGGTTCAGGTAACATCGGTTCTGTATACAAAGGGATTCTTGAAGAGAATGGAGTAGTTATTGCTGTTAAGGTGCTTAATCTTCTTACTCATGAAGCTTCCAGAAGCTTCTTAGCTGAATGTGAGGCCTTGAGGAACATTAGACATCGGAATCTCGTCAAGGTATTAACAGCAATTTCAGGTGCCGATTATCAAGGAAATCATTTTAAAGCATTGGTTTATGAGTTCATGGCAAACGGAAGTTTGGAGGATTGGCTGTATCCATCTGTTGGCATGATTGAACAGGAGAGGATCAGAAACCTGAATTTCTTCCAGAGAGTAAATGTGGTTGTAGATGTTGCTCATGCACTGGAGTGTCTGCACCATCATTGCGATGCACCAATTATTCATTGTGACCTCAAGCCAAGCAATATTCTACTTGATGAGGAAATGGTTGGCCATATAAGTGACTTTGGCTTAGCAAAAATCCTTTCTGCTGACTTGCTTAACAATTCTACCACTCAGTCAAGCTCCCTCGGATTAAGAGGAACTATTGGTTATGCTCCACCAGGTAAGTATATTTTATTCATTTCTCCCATTTTAATACTTTTCTCTTAGAACAACATAATTCAAAAGCAAAACATAATGTGGAAGTAGTTTTTGGTTAACGAAAAATGACTACATTACTTCAAATTAGAATGTAATTTTACATGTTTAAAGCTTGGATGTCAGAGGCTATATCTTTATATTTTTCAAGGTATCTCTTCTGCAATTATTACTATAATTTTTATAATTTGTGATGAATTTATTGTAGAATATGGGATGGGAAGTGAGTTGTCAACAAAAGGTGATGTTTATAGCTATGGCATCCTTGTGCTTGAGATGTTTACAGGGAAAAGGCCGACTAATGAAATGTTCAAAGAAGGTTTCAACCTTCACAACTTTGTTGTGGCAACTTTACCTGGACGAGTGATTGAGTTTATAGATCCCATTCTTCTTGAAGAGCGAGTCAAACAAGGAAATGACAGGCATTTTCAATTCTTGAATTCAATATTTGAAATAGGAATCACTTGTTCTGCTGGAATCCCTAAGTGAGCGGATGGACATGAGTGATGTTGTTACTAAGCTTTGTTCCATTAGAGACAAGCTTCATCCAACTCGATTACATCGTGAGGGCCAAACTTTATATGCTGCTCAATCAGCAGGTAAACAATTTGCATTATTCTTAACAAAATACTCAAACCATTTCATGACTTAGGGCACATTTCTACTACTTTTCAGATAAATACTGTGTTCAAATGATTTGAGCAAGTAAATTGTTTGTTGGTTACATTCTATAGAAGTAAATATGATGGTTTAATTTCATGATTTCTTTGTTTTCATATGCTTCAGGTATCTGAGGAGCCATATCAATGGACTTGAGAGGCTTAAGTGTGGCAAAGTACTGCCAGTCCTTTATTTCACATTGTATCTGGTATTTGCAGAAGTAAAACTTTTCCAACAAGCACACGAGATGGAGAAGAGAAAAATAAAGAGCAAGTTTGACCACCTATTATTGGTGTATGTAATTTGTATGAATTTTCTTTTATTGTGGATTATCATCAAATCAGAATTCAGAATAATGCAAATAAACTGTTCTGCTAGACCTTTTTCGGCTATTTAATATAATTTTTTTATTTTTTATTTAAAAAGAAAAAGACAATTAAATCAATCCATTTAGTTGAAAAAAAAAGCTAAGTAACATTTCCCCTTGATAAACTAGTTAGATAAAGTGACACCAATATTAATACTACTTAGCTCACAAATATTAATACTAGAAATTCAACATTGTCTATGTGGATGTTGAGATAGAACCATAACTATTTCCTTGTTCTGAATATCACCACTGCATCAATGTTTAATTCTTCATACCACCATTACCTTTGTCCTTTCATTCTTTTGTGTCGTAAATTATTGGACAGATCAATGAAAAAAGCTTCATAGGGAATTTCCATAAGACGAAAATTTTAATCTAGAAAGATATAGGACACTCTCGTGCAATAAATCATGTCTCAGAGAACACACTTAAGGAAAACTAAAGGCATATTTGAAGGCATGAGTAAAGATGATGAAAAGCATAAAACCACCTCAAAGCCTCTAAGTTTAAGTAAAGATGATGAAAAGCATAATATCAATATTTCTGCATACAACTTTAGCACCTAGCAAGTCAAGCATAATTAGAAACCAGAATAAGTAGAACGACGTTCTTTCTTTGTTTTGAATCGGATAAGTAACAAATTGGTAAAAGCATTAGCATATGGCTTGAAGTGAATAATACCTTCTCCCTTTCTCTAGTATTGGCTTTGTCGTTTTCAGAGGTGACCTTCCTCTTTCTATAAAACTCAACTTTGTATTGATCTTGTGCTTACACGTCAAAGATATAATTTTTAAAGAAGTAAAAATAGCTATGGAAGTTGGAACTCTGAAGTCTCTGTCTGAAGGAAAGCTAAAATGAAAGGCGATGAGATAACTCTTTATTTGGGCTTGATTTTTTGGGCCTTTTATTTGGGTTTCAATTCATAATTTAGAGATCCATAAAACTGTAATAAATATATATCTGATTTTCTTGGTTTAATTATTTATAAAAAAATTTTGTACTCAATATTTCCTTTCTAATAATTATCTTATATCCAATTTTTTTTATAGGAGGTCGTAGCTTAAGATAGGTAAAAAAAAATTATATATAACATAAAAATAAAGGAAAGAATTGAGATTTGAATTTAAGAAGTAATTAACTTTTTCATATAGATGTTTTACTTCATTGCATATTGTCAGTATTTAATGGGTTAATTTTATGAATGACTTTTAAATTTTAGTAAAATGTTTAATGTGATGTTTGAATTTTAAAAGTTTTAATGTGATATTTAAATTATAAATCTGTTAATTAATATAATGTTTAAAAGATTATTTGTTCATCACATCTTATCATTTAAAATAAAAATATATATTAATTAATAAATTTATAGTTCATATATTAAAATAGAAAATATTAAAATTTAAATAATACATTAACTATTTCATTACAATTTAGAATACTTCATGTCATTAACTTTTTATTAATACATACAAGAACATATTTTTTTGATATATGAATTCAGACTACCTAATTTTCACGAATATGGATTCAATTTAGAGTTTAGTTATTAAGATTACGATCTTCTGACTTGAATTCAAAGCAAGGCATTGTGAGATATAACTTAAAAGAGATTACAGGGTCCATTGATCACCATTGGTTTTTTTTATTTTTTTTAATGAGAATCTCCACCAACCATTAGAACATTGATATTGACACAAGTTGAATGGAATGAAGGTCTTTCAATAAATTTTCAAAGTAAACTGAACATACTACCTTTATTGTAGCCTACAAGTGATGTGAGCGAAAATTTTAGCTTCTAATCAGTAACTTGTCCAACTAACAAAGAGGCATTCAAGCTCCAATCTAAACAATTAAACTTCAAAACATGTGTAGGGAATTGATTTCAGAATAAAGAATCAGACACCTTCTATTTTATTGGTTTATATTTTCAACTTTCATTTCCATTTTTCTTACCATCAACATCAAATGCTCTTATTAGTTGACCCAAAAAACAAAAAATATATATGCATTCTTATCTCTGATGAATGATATTCCATCATGAGATATGGATATAGGGATTTTTTTGTCCTTTATTTTGCAGTGAAAGTCAGAGCAGGATCAGAAATATCTGAAACTTGAGAAAACAGAATATGTGGATCTGAAGTGAGTTATGCCTTGAACACCAAAAGATAAGAAAATTTCCAACTCATTAATTACGATAGCATCCTTTTGAATGGAGCTAGTTTTAATTGGTACATGAATGTGATGCAGTTTCACAGCACATAATCATGCGTTTGGATATTTTGGCACTTAGGAAATCCTTAAAAGAAATCTATTCGAATTCTTGGCATTGGAAAATTTTTCTACCTCTTTTAATGTAGTGTCATTTTCAATTAGTCTTTTTAGTCAAATCTCGTTGGTAATTAGTATATGGTTGACCGTTATGAAACTTGATAATAATAGCCATCAGAAAACTGATCTTGAACATGACAGTAACTATTTATTTTGCCAACAGTAGCTTATTGATAGAGTATTGACTCTTAATTTTAGTGATTCAATGATTGACAGTAAAAAAGCAAAAACTATCTATTCTCTATTGGCTGGTGGTCCATAGAAGTTCTTATATGTGAAAAGTAAATAAAAATATCTCAGTTCAACACCTACCTTTGAAATTTTGTAGTCTGGAAGAGACACTTTGCCTCAATTTCTTTGAGTATCTATGGCTTCAGTCAAGTCTGGGAACTATATCTTTAGTTGTCTCAAAGAGAAATTCATGTAAGAATATTGGATTTAGCTTCAAGTTCTTAATCTTGTGTCTAGATTTGATAAATAAAATTCCACCTCTAGTATTTCAGGTTTCATGAATAATAATACACTTTTTCTCGTGCCTATTGCTTAACATTCTTGGATTGAGAATGAGTTTATGTCCAAATTTGTCTGGTAGGTTATGTAGCTACATTTAAAACCAGACAAATGAATTTTATAAAGCTTCTGTTTCTATTCATTTCTCGAGAGTAGCTTTTATTCAAGGGGAATTGACCCATGCACCATGCAGACGAAACCATATCTAGTACACAAAGAAATCACAACTTCTTTTCTTTTTCCACAAAGAAATCACAGCGTAACTAACTATTGTTTCCATTTATATTACAAATAACATACAATT